CATGAAGTGATTTTGGCTTTCATTTAATTAAAGCATCTTTTCTTTAACTCAATTTTTTTTAAAAAATGTAGAATGATTTCAATGGGAAAAATATTAAAAGCCTGATTTCTTAAAGATTAAGAAGAAAGTAATGGGACTATATTAACAGACATTGAATAATTATTTTTCCCCCTCTGGATTAAACTCTAAAATGCTAACCTATTAAATGAAAGGCTTCTTAGATTCTAAAACAAAATACTTTGCTTGATGAAGTGAAGATTTTCTAGGGGAAAATAAATCTACCTAAATTATGCTACCTATTGTAAATGATGTTGCCAGCTTATTTAGAGTTTTAACCTCTAGCAATAACAGTTTATTTTGATAAATTATTCATATTTCTGCATTGTGTACCTTTTGTAATTTGCATATCTGGCAGCAAGTAGGCCCTTCTTTCAGGCTTCAGTCCCCTTGGTTAGACAGAATGGCCGAAGGCTGCTTCATGATGAATTTCATCTCAATAGGGTAATTATCATACTGAAAAGAAGTAATACCCCTGAAATATGCTCTCCTGGAGCAATAAGTACAAGAGGCTTAACCTAAGAGCTTTTAAGCACATTGTACCTTTTAGGTTAAATGTTAACCTTTCTCTGTTTAGGAGTATCTATATCCAAAAATAATACTGTTATTTATAAGAAGAGAGAACAGTAATTTAGAGCTTGATTTAGCAGCTCATTGGTTGGAAGATAATTTGTCACTAATTTCTAGTATGGTATTAAAAAAAAAGAAGTCTACCTTTTGAGGGATCAAAATGTTTAGCATTGCTGGTTCAAATTTTAGCTGTAAATCCAATAAATATAAATTTCTCTGTTGGTTTGTGTCAAAGTATTCAACTTCTTTTTTAAATGCTTAGTTTTATAGTCTAACAAAAATCTAAATGTCTTGCACATTGTGAAACTAACAAGATAAAACTTTCAAAAATGTTCCTTTTTTTTGAAAATTAAGAAAAGAAGTTTGGTTTTTAATTTAAGTTGTAAAGAAATGCTTAATAAAAAGGCTATAGTGAAATGGTGTGATAGTGAAATTCTTCAAACTTCTCTAGAATCCTGGTCACAGAATACTGAAAATCAAGTTCTGAAATTTAAAATTAAAAGACTTTCTGCATAATACATAACTAGTGATCAAAGAACAAAAGAGTTTAATTAGTTTGTGTCATCTTAAAAATTTAACAGATTCCTAAATTTAATGTCTTATATCATTATTTTTTCTTTAACTTTTACAGTTAGATTTTCTGAGCAATAATTGCTTACAAGTATTAAGAAGGAAATTCCGTCAGTTTGCTAGGTTGAATAAGTAACAACTAATGCTCTTGGGGGAATTTTTAGTGTAGTAAGAAGGGATGATTGTCTAAGTTAATAATTATGTAATTACTTTGAGGTAGAAATTGTACTGTCAAGCTGGATGTGGGCTGGATGTTGAGAAATGGCCAGAATGAAGACTCACTTTCTGCTTCATCACCTGTGCTATTCATTCTCCTGCTCCTATTTCTTCCTCTTTCTAATGAAATCTTTCTTATTTAGTTAGTTATTATTTGATGAACTGAATGAATTTACATTATAATTACTCTGGGATTATTCTTTGTTCACTTGAAATAGTAATTGATCACTCCCAACTTAATCTAAAAACAAAACATAATAAATATAGTGATTTTTTTTTCCTCTGGAAGTGAATGAATGCTTAAAATACATTGAAGATGTAAGTATCGTTCTCTGCAATCCTATGGTTATTACCTGTCCCTTAGCCAAAGAACAACACTGAGACTTGTAATTTAGCAGTTCATTTGATGCAAAAACTACATTTGGACACTCAGTGGATTTACCCCTTACAATAATTGAGGCCAGAATATAAACAACTTTACATATATGAAAAGTTTATGATATGAAGCTAATCTTTAAAAGTATATGCAAAAATTGTTTCCCAAGCAAAACAGTTTATAGTCTCACAATATTTCTTTCAATTTTGTAGATTACACTCTTTTGCCTTTGGATTCAAAACAAATTGAAGTATTTGGCTTATCTAACCATACCAACATGTTTATATAAATAAAATATGCTCTGGAATCCTAGGAATACAAACTTATCCAATAGTTTTTTACTAAAACACTAATTATGCTGAAATTTTAATATAGGTTGATACTGACTAATGTTTTAGTCTGAAATATTACTTGTCTATATCAGTATTACTCTAATCTTCTGTTGAATACTTTTTATGATTATCTACTTTTATTTAAAGTAATCATGTGCTTTATTTAAAATATAACTGTCTTAAATAAAAATTAATTCAAAATGACAATATCATTGAAAAATTAGGATGTATGTAGTGGGGTAGTACAAAAAATAAAACTGGCTATCACTTGATATTTTAAATGGATGTTGCATACATGGGGTTCATTATATTGTTTTTGTTATTTTTGTGAATGCTTTCCTTAGTTAAATGCTAGTTTATTTTGTAGTTAGCATATTTCAAAAGGAGGTAGGAGAAGTATTTATAATCAAAATTTGTCTGTCTGGATTTAAAGTGTTTCATTCATACCATTTTGGGGGTGGCTTTCTTATGTTGTGCATTTATGATCTCAGGGTTGAATCCCTTTTTAAGCCAGGCAGTTTTAAAAACTGAAATACTGTGCCCAAGTGCCTGTCCAATCTGCTCATCTCTGCATGTGTCCCTGGTAAGCTTTGAGGCTGATATTATTTTTGGGTGGATACAGCTGGCTGAGTTGTTGAAAAGATATTTGGTTTTAAACTGCGAGTTTCTACTGAGATGTAGTTCATTTAAGAGTTTATAAATTAATGTAAACTGACTTAAAAGTTTCAGTCAGAGAGGGAATAGATGGAATTTTGAGGGATAAACAACATGCTACTTATATGGTCCTGAGATTTACCTTCCTTAGAATCATTCCTTTACAGTTAAAAATACACAGAATGTCCTTCTTAAAACATACCTTTACCTGAGTACAGTCGCTTCAATGCATCAGTATTCATTTGTAAACTGGCTTTTTTTTTTTCTGCAAAAGACTAGAGGCAGGGAAAACTCAGGAGGGAATGGGGGCATAGCAGAAAGAAGTGTTCAAAAGAATTGAGCCCTAAAACACACTCACTGCCTGTGCATACAGCCAAATAGAAGACAGGTTAAGGTTATTGTTGAGATCTTGTTGAGAGATAACCAGCCTGTCAGAGCACTCAAATGGGGAATGCTGAGCAGTCAGGGGAATTTTCTGTATTGGAACACTGAGAATATAGCCAACAGGAAAATACAGTGGTCAGTGGGAGAAGTAATAAGACCCTTAGAAAAGCATTCCATGACTCATAATTGGGTGTAATGAGTGGTTCAATCAAATATTGCTTGTACTGGTGTTATTTAAGATCAGTGATTTAAGAGATCATGAAGAAAAAGGAGAAGATAAAAGCTGCAATTTTTAAAAGTAATTTACTAGTTAACATTTCCAAACTTTTTCTAAATTTAACCAAAAACTGTACTGTTATACTTTGGTATATTCAGATATCCAAAGAGTAAAACATTTGAGCAGTTCAGTTGTCATTTGGACGTAATATTTTCTTAATCTATCCATTTTTTTAGTCATCAGATATTTAATAAGTACCTATGAAATGCAAGTCATATAGGTGTAGGTTAAGAGTAATACATAGAACTAAATTAACAATTCAATATCTAAATGGAAATCCTGACTACTAACTGGGATCATGTCTTCTGAAATGGACAGAGATATTACTAGCATGCTATTTGTCACAAAATTTTCCTCCAGAAAAAAATAAAAATCAATCATAAACAGATTTTTATAAACTGAATTTAATTTTGGCAAGATATGTTTTGTCTGAAGCAATAAATATAAAAATAAAATCATGTATAAATCAAATGTTATTTCTTTTATATAAAGACAAAATGAAGTATTAGAATTTTCATAATTATCATTATAATATAAATTAATTAATATCTCTCCAGCAAAGGGTAAATATGAATTAATAATTAAACTTATTTTGTTTGGACAAAATGCATGCAATTTTAACTTATAATTATTTTCCCAATTATTCTGATGCAATCTTGTTATCTTACAACTCTAACTAGTATTGCAAATTCAAATAAGATGATATCAAGTGAAAGGTTGAATGTACTTATTTGTTTATCAACTCCCATATTTAACGTCTAGCAAATGGCTAAATCTGCTTTCCCATATTATAGAATAATTCCATTATTGAAAACTTAGTAAAGAGAATCATGAACCATACTAAGATGTGTGTCATTGCTTTTTGAAGTATTCATTTCTCTTTTTTAATTCTATCTAAAAATATTTATGGTGAACATGAATTTTTCTTACCTTGTTTCTTTTAAGACAAAAAATTCTGAACAAAAGGGGAAAAAGAACAATAGCAACAAAACCTAAGACCAAAGAGGAAGAAAGATTAAAAATGAAGCTCCTTCATTCTCTTACAATATACATTGTTGCTCAGGGCCATGCTGATAGTGATGGACACCACAGTAATATGGGGAATGTTATCTCCAAGTTAAAGACTTCAGCTTGAAATTGGTTGTCTGGGCTTTATTCCTGTACGAGTCATCAGGGACTTTTAATGAGCCACTTTGTATCCAAGTGTTCCATTCATTTGAAAGAATTGATTAATAAAGAAATAATTCATGAAGAATCCTGAGATTTTTAAATTCAAGTGCAAAAGGTTCTATGACCATGATGTTCTATGATCAGTGAACAATGAGTAAAACATTTTTGGGCATCTTTATTTTATACTCTAATTTCTTTCAGTCATTTTTGTGTGTTTGTTTCAATAAGACCTATTCTCTGTAATTCCACTATCTTTACTTGTAAACAAAAATTATGAATGCCAAAACCAATCCTTTCTTATTTTGTAATTTCTCACCTTTATTGTTCTTTTTAATACATTTTTTTTGAAACAGCACTTCAGGGTAATTTATTTATTTTTATTTTTCTTTCTAAGAGCCAGAAAAAGCTTCTGAAACCAAACAAGGGACTGTAAAAGTTGCAGCACAAGGTAAGCAATTAAACACTTAAAAAAAAAAATCTATTGCTTTTTTCTTGTTAGTTTCTTAAGTCCATAGCACTTTATTGACAAAAGCCAAGGCTGTTTATTGCAGAATAGCACCATCTGCTGGGTTATTATAGAAAGCATCATGTAGTTGCATGAAGATACATACAGCAAGTGTTTACTTAGTAACTAGAGCAAGCATTACTAAGAGTATAATGCCAAATTTTCAGAGCAACTGCTAAAAGAACCAAGAATTAGTATCTTGGCTCCAAGTTTCAGTCATTGATCCTTTACATACAATATTTTTCCATGAGTAAGCCATAGTTAGATAATTAAAAAGAGATTCGTATTTAAATGATATAAATTTTCCCAAGTGTTTGGTCATATCTTATAATTTGTCATATTAGAAAATCAGTCAGAATATTATTAAATTATTATTGTCCCATAAATATCCAAACTGCATAAATAGGATTACAGATATGACTAATAAAGTAGTTGCCACAGTTTAGATGGGTCATCTATGAAAATCAGTTTTATCACTTAGTAATATCTTTGTAACACCAAAAGTGATTTACTCTCAAACCATGAGTATTTTGACAAAATCACAAGGGAAGGGGACAAGTGTTCTGCCATTGTCACCTATGAAAACTTCAGAAACCATTTTTAGAAAACAAAAGGTTAAATTTACATTGGAGAAGATCTGCGTCTTCTCTTTTCTGCCAGATTATATAATATTGAGCAATAAGAGAGATTCATTTTGACAGTGGTACAATTGTTTTTAGGTAGAAGCCCCTTGTAGCAGGCCCATTAACATACGATATCACGATACACCTTTGGATGTATTGCATCTGACCAAATGTTGCTTATGAGTAATATATGCTAGAATGGTTAAAAGCTATGAGACTTGTTTTTAGTTTTCATGTTGATTATTGTTTCAATAAAACTGGGTCTTCCTTAGGAAAGTTCTGATAGGAAATGTAACAAATATTATGGAAAATAGAAAAACAGAGCAAATATACATGAAAATGCAGCTTGAAGTAAATTTCTCAAGCAAATGACTATCACTTAAAAGATTCATGCTGTAAATATTATTTTCTCATTAAAAAATACAATGACCTTAGGCTCTTTGTGTTTTAACGGAAACTTTGGAGGAATGTTTTATACATGTGGAACTATAACTCAGGGCAGGAATTTAGTTTTACTTCAGCCTCATATTAGAGGAGTTCAAGAGGAGGAAATTGAAAAGATATTTGGCAATTTGTTTCAGGTTTAAACTTGGGGCTATAGACTCTTCATTCCAAAATTCAAAATACATTGGACAAGACAGCCTCTGATTTTTTTCTTTTTGAATAAAGGATTTTTTGATGAGTGCATATAACCTAGAGTCTCAAAGTCTTGTTAGAACTTTCTTTGAAAGGACATTAGATGAAAGTGTTGATTAACCACAGAGAACAAGGTGAGAATTGGGCACTTGTATGTATGCTCACAGAAATAAGGACTCATGAAAGTAGGAATAACTATCATTTGTGTCACTGCAGAATCTCTTTAGAACTTCCTTACACATATTTTATAATATTACGGATATATAATTTAATTATGTACAGAAATCTAGAAATAATTTCAAGTACCCTATGTGGACAGAGAACTTATTCAAATAACTTAAGAAGAATTGACAGTAATGTCTTAGCAGACAGGTAGGTATACTGGAAGGGATAATATTAACAATGACGCTTTAGTGTGATAGAAAGCTAGATTACATATGCTCATTTATTCATTTTTACTGTTAAAAAGAATTTAAAATCTATATTTACAAAAATATATGCATGTAGGCATTTATAATTATTAAGATTCAGCATAATTTCTTTGGAAGTATGTTTTAAAATTATTTTAACAAATTTTGAAGCACTGAGGAGTCTGTGATATAAATATTTTTATAATTTAGGAGATAAAAGAAATTTAAGTATCAACATAAATAGAATGTCATATAGTGCTGAAATGAATTGTGGAGTCTTAAATGTTATATGACTAAAACAAAAGTAAGAATAGGAAGTTGAGGAATTCTTCATGGACTATGAATGACTTGACATGAGTCTGGATCATGACTGGGAATTGGACTGAATGAGAAAAAGAACTGCAAGTGGGTAGATGGCTTAATTAAAAAGAAAGAGTGAGAGATAATATTAAAGTGTGTTATTATTAAGACAAGAGACTAATGTCTTAATAGCAGACCGAAACTAAGAGTGTGGCAGGGGAAAAAAGTGTAGATATAAAGATCACTTTGAAGAAATAATATTTGATAGAATATATGGGTTGAAACAAAGAAGAGAGTTAAAATTATATTGAGATTTAGAGACTAGGTGAAAAGAATGATGGTCATTATCACACATAAGTCCCAGGAAAAGAAACTCATTGAGAGGAAAAAGGTGATTTGCTTTTTGGCAGATTAATCTTGAACAGATAGAGAATAATCCAGATAGTGACTTTTGGGTAGCCAATTAGAATCTGGGTTCACAGATATTACATAATAAAATGTGTTGAAGAAATGGAATATAGACCCAAATCAGAAAGGAAAGAGGAATAAGGGAAGTATTTATTTATTTATGTATGCATTTATCATTTATGTCAAATGACTAGGTACACAATTTTTGAGGTTAAACTGCCAGAGAAAGGACAGATGCCCTAATGGAACTCAGTTTAAAAGATGGGGCTATCACTTTGAGTTCATATAGTTTTACCAATTACCTTCTTATGTATTGCTATAGCAAACATTAAATATCTGTGATATATTACAGAAAGAAGGCAGAAAGAGAAAACAAATTGAAATGTTAGTCATGCAAGTCTCATTAGAATATGAAAACCAAGAGCTCTATTATTGAGAACCATGTCTACTCAGTAAATTTAGGAGTCATCCAACCACACAATGCAGTTAAGTGGATTAGAATCACAGTCAGGCTGAATTGAGGACTGGTGGTCAGACACATGGAACACAAGTCTCAAATCCATAATGGAAACAGTTGGATCTCACCTCCTTGGCTTTGATTAGCTACAGGGGATAGAATCCAGCTTGACAGATCCTGTGGTCTTCCAGATGGCAATGAATAAAAGCTATCCATCTTCTAAAGACCCAGGGAAACACTAGAAGTTAGTGTCAGTTTTGATAAGTCAAACTCCTTCAATAAACTCTTTTCCATTTTAATTGTAAAGTTGAAACTGAAGCTGTCAAAGAATATAAGAATAGTAAAAAGGACAATGTGTATATATTGCATGCCTTAAACTGCACATGGGTATGTATAGATTGTTTTTCATGAATTATGTCAGAAACCAAAGTATTTCGATGTTGCTGAAAAAGATTTTGCAAATTCTTGAATGAATTTCAGATTTAGGGATTTTCTTCTCTTTAGAATTCATAGGATTAATAAAACTAGAAAGTTATTTGCATTTTCAGCCATCTTTTTGATCAAGGTATTGGTAACTTTGGTTTTCAGAAGTAGATTTATGGTTGATGAGAAAGCTTAGGCTTCAGGGCTTACTAGCCAGAGCGCCTTCAATGACACCTGGATAGATTGTAGCAACTGTTCGTAAATAATTGTGAGTTGTTTTATTGTGTCTTTAAAGAATCCTTCCCTCCTACCATGTAATCCAACTTATTTTGGAAAGAATATGGCTTAAATGATGGGAAATATTGTGAGATTATTCAGTAGTAAAACAAAGCAAAACCCCTCCTGCATAATATCTGAAAGAACAATACCGTTTCACTTCTTTTCCCCCTTGTACAAACATTAGGCAAAATATGAAAATTTATGTGAATTTTAGATTCAAAATATATACTTGGGTGATTTTGAAAATTATTTGGTCTTAAAGGAAACTATTTTTTTTGCAAAGAATAACAAAATTATTGAGTCAAAGCCACAGGACTTGCTTTAATTATGCCCTATAGCTTTGAAATCTATCAGGCAGTGTCCATATCTTTGAATTCATTTTAGTTGTCTTCATTACTATCCTCATAATATCATTGGAATAGACCAATATTTTAATAGTTTAACTTAAAATATCTAAATAGGATTCTTTATTGCATTTATATTATCAGTTAAAAGTGTTTTAAAAACAAAAAAACAAAAGGCACAAATTGGAATCAATGTGTAAATGCACTTTTTAACTACAAAATTTGTAGCATTTCAATAATATTTAGAAAATAGAAAGACCTATAATAAAATAAAATATACTATATTTCCTTCCTATCTTGTTCCTGAATTTGGGACCCTATTCTGGTACTTATTCTATAGGCAATCATTAACAAATCATTTTATTTCTCTGAGGCTTGAGTTCTTGCTCTATGTTGCCTTTGTTACAAGGCTATTGTGAAGAATAACTGAGAAAAGGCACCAAGGTGACTGGGCAACTGTAGCAGCATAGAATAAATCTCCAAAGTAGTCCTGGATGTTGGTCCTAAGTGATCTTCACCCTTCTGTCTAGTCAGGTGTCATGACCGTGCTGAGGTGTGCTCAATCTCAGATTCAATAATGTGCCCTAAGACTTCTCTGAATTGCATTTGTTTCTGAATTTCCTTTGAACAGAACAAGGTCCATCTTGCTAATAAAAATTTCAAGCTTATAGAGCACCTCCCCCAAATCCTTCTAGTAATAACCATAAACTAAAACCTTTACCCAGAATTAGATTCATGATCTAGGATTGGGCGAATGCCACCACAGAGGAAGTCAGAATTCAAAAGTGATTAAAGTGTTCTGTGCCCCTTTCTCTGTATAGATAACAACATAAATGCTAAAAAGCAGAGTGGAGTATTCATTATCCCTTCATGAAATGAGACATTTAATAAACTCTTATTATAAATACAAGTATATACTGCATTCTGATATATATTTTTTCAAAAGCTAGATATAAATAATTTGTAAAATATCATCTCCATTCGTTTGAGACACTCAGTCATAGTCTATGTTTTATGAACTTCTAGGAGTAATTATGGTTCTCATATTGGTAATATAAAATCTAAAATTAACTTATAGTAAACGTGTTCTTACAAATAGGGTTTCTGTCACTGTAATTCAATTTATTTTTATTGTTTTTGCTATATGCTTATTTCTGAATTTCAATCTTCACATGAATTAAGAGGATTAATGGGTACAAAGGTGATGACTGAACTTATGAATACATGAGATAGATTCTTATAGTCTTAGAAGTGTTCTAAGGAATGATTATTTAAGACGTTTAAATGCCATTTTCTTTCCATTATTTCAGCAGCAGCTAAAAAGGATGAAAAGAAAGAAGGTATGTTTTATGTAAAATCTCACTCTGCCTTTTGTAAGGACAATTTACCAATATTCAGAGTTGTGCTTTTACTGCTCTCCTTACTATATTCCCTTCAGATAACTGGATCCATTATTTGCATACATTTTGCATGAATGTTCTCTTTCTATCTCACCTCACACAAAAGGATGAACTATTTCTTTAAATGTAATTTTAGCGTAGCTTTCTCAAGATAAAACAGCCTCTGCAAATCCCAAACCTCCTACTCTGTTGGCAGTTTTATCAATTTTTAGAAATTTGTAAATTATGGACCCCGTTCTCCTATATTAACTCCTTGCATCTCTGACACACATAAGTAACTGCTGTTACTTTGCTCTATTAAGCTGCAAATAAGTTATAGTCATCCACTGCAAATAAATTCTCTTTTTTGGTGGGGTGGCATGACATGGTGTAAAATATATCTTGTTGGCAAAGGAAAATTGCACTATATGGAATTAAATGGACAAGAAAGACTTTATCCAAGACTACTGCAGTAAGGGTCAAGTCTATTAGCAGAGGAAGGAGATTGAACTTAATTCCACTGAAGCTAAACGCCTGAGAGTTTTTAAATGCTGGAGTGAGCTAGCATCGAAGTACTGGACAATAATGAGTTGGGGGTGATCAGTGCAATAAGGCCATATGGGCCTTCTAACGGGACCTATCAAAGTTAGGCTCCTACCCTCCCAAAAGACTGAGAAATAGGGATGCTATCTTTTCTATAATTATATTCCAAAAAAGATGGCTTTCTGGTTCTTGTAAAAGACATTTCTGGGTTGTAGCAAATTTATATTTTGAAAGGACAGAGAAAGAGTTTGCAATTACAAGGTTTCCAAAGTGAAAAATTTAAGAAAAAAGATGCCAGGTCCTTGTAGGCAGGAAGAAAGTTGTATAAACTTGGTCTTGCATTAAACATTAAGGCTGACCACACCACTGCTGTCCTTTTTAGAGGGATGTTTGTAATGCACACCCTGACAAAACTTGGATGGTCTTTTCACCACTGTTTATTAATCTAACCCCATTTTATTAATAAAATAGAATGTGGATACATGACCATATGATCTAGAAACATAAAAAACAAGGGTTATATTTTGTATTTAATATCATCAGAATTTTCCATGATCCTAACAGTTTGAGTTACATTCTGCTTCTGTTACACAAGAAGCTTAAAGCTAATATGCATGAGAAAGAGAAAATATTTAAGTTGGTTATTTGTTCAGAGAAAGCAAAGCTGAAGTATTATAACAATGACTGCTAGAACATTTTAATGTTTCTCATCAAGAGATTGAAATCAACATGGGTTCCTTTTGATATCTTTTAAATGTATATTGGCAACTGATACTATATGTTATGAATACTTTGATGTAAAGATAGGGAATTTTTAAAGAATAAAGACATTGTGAGTTCCTGGCACAGTTTTGTATAGAAATGCTAGTTATCCTTCCAGTATTCCCTCTTAGAAAAAAAGAAACAAGTTTCATTTGATTTAAGTAAAGGCGTAATATGAATGGTTATTTTTTCATTGGTATCCAAGTCAACATTTTAGGAAACTACAATTTCACAACTTTTAAGATTTGTGTTATCTGCGTATTATATGCCTCTATTTTTTCTGGCTTATATACGTCATTTCACCCTTTAAATAAATTGTCCATAATCTATATGCCATATTTGGAAGAATTTGGGCAGAACTTTGCCAGTGGAAACTCAAAAGCTTCCTTGTCTGAGACCTGTTAGGAAACACTCTCCTTGTAGACAACAACATTCAAATTCTGATGTCAGTTTTCAAATCCAGCTTTTCTTTTGCTCCTCAAATTTAGTCTTTTATAATTTCAGTTTGACTAAATTCTCTTTGGTTTAATCCTTCCTTAAATAATTAGAAAAACTGATTTTCATTACAAAACAGGTTCTAGTTTTCCAGTTGGGACTTCACATTGCCATTTGTGACTTCAATGAGTCTTACTAACAGCTCATATTTTCCAGGGCAATGATCTCCCAAAGTCAGATGTATTTTGAAAAGTGGTCAGTGACTTCAAGGGTGTTCCTGATACCCTTCCCATAGTTCTTCAATGTCAAAACTATTTTTTTAAAGAAATATGAGATCACCATCTGCCTTTTTCTCTCACATTCTCACATGAATATGCACTATACTTTTCCAGTGGCTTAGTGGTGTATATTAGTGCAACAGACTAAATCCCAAGCAGATATGCAAATCTAGCTGCCTTCAAATTAAGCCAGGCATTAAGGAGAGTCACAGAAGTCAATTATTTCACCATTTTGTGTATTGGAATTATATTTGTTATAGAATATGTTGTTTATATTAAAATATATCAGGTTTATAATATTTAATAAATGAATAAATAATACATAAAATTTAAATTTTTTTCTTAGCTCTCATTTTAAAAATTATAAGCGTCAATAAATGCATAAAATAGCTATTTGGATCTTTAGTAACTATTAACAGTTTAAAGGAGTACTGAGATGAAAATGTTTGAGATTCTTTGATAGAAATAATTATCTTGCTTATGATATTATCTCTTTCCAAAATATTCAGCTTTATTCATTACAGTTTTTATATTCTTAACTATTTAAAATATTGAGTGACTCTACCATAATCACAGAACATACTCTTCAGGCCTTAATCTGCAATTAAATTCCCATATTCTGTTTCTGACTTGCCTTTTCTAACCTCCTGTCAATCACACATCAAGGCAAGATCAAGGCCAATGCCTGAATAAATCCAGTAGTAAAGATGCCAGGAACCCTTTTGAGATTGAGGTAACTTATTACGTTTATGGACATCAAAAGTAAGAGAAGCTGAAAGTGACAGCTCTTTATGGCCCTTGTTCCACACTCCAAAAAGGGTGAAGCAAAAACAAATGGGAGGAGGTTGCAATGTAACACAAATTAGAATCACTTCCTTGCTGAGGAGGCAATTCCAGGCTCCAGCCATGATTTTGTGGTCTACAGCTCTATTCCAAGTGGGTCGAGGAAGAAAACTTGGAGGTGATGAGAAATTATTTTTACAGTCTCCCAGGAGAAATTTGGAGGCACATGGGAAGTGGCCTCCTTGCTCCTCACAAGACTCCCATGCTCCTGTGTTCCAGGGGAACACAAGGCATCCTGTTCAAATTCATTAGTTACAATTTAAAACTTTACTTGTGTGGCAATCTTGCTCTTATTCTTACCCACATTCTTCCTTTATGTACTCTATTCCACAAAGCTGCTCTCCATTTTACATATGAAAGTTCTTGCTGTTATCCTAACAGAGTTTACCACACCCCAACCCCTTTTTTTCTTTCTATGAAATATGCAGCTTTTTTTTGGAGTTCATGATAACTCCTCTGTCCTCTAAGAACTCTGGTCCTCTCAGTTAAAAATACTGTCAGGCTTGTATAATGCACCATGGAGCTTATTTCTTGCCACTTTGTACTTCATGTTACTTGCAATCCTTTTCCTTTTACTCTAGCTAACTTCAGACTTTTGATAAGAGGGTCATGTCCAATTCACTTTTATCCTCTGCAGGGACTAAGTTTCTTAGTTTTCAGATTGTTCAAATATATATTCTGTGAATCAGTAATATCTAGTACTCAACACATACATAATAGTCACAAGAAATATAAAATATGAACTACCAATTTTCTCACATCCCGGGCAAATATTCTATAACTAATATATTTCCATCATCATCCTCATCATCACTATAAGTTACTTTTTAAGTTTGGGAAGTCATAACTAACTATTGACTGTTTGTTTTATGTGTGTATGATCATGTGCTGCTACTTGGGATAGATGAGCAGAGCTAGGTAAATCTCATTCATTTAATCTCATTTTAATTGATGAATTCCTAGGGGCTGGAATGCTAAGAATTCTGCTTTAACATGTGGAAGACAGAACTCTACTAAGAACAAACCAGATGATATTGATTGTTTACTGACACTAGCAAAAGTAGAGTTGAATGCATATGAGCATTACCCCAAGTCCTAGGGATTCAAAATTGAGATATGAAGAGGAATTGTGTGAAAAAATAAAGCAAAGTGTATGGTATTGTAAGAAGAAAGATGCTAATCCAACAGATTCCACAAGGGAGACAAGTTCTTCATTCCCAGCAAGAGTGGACTACCAGAGAGTTCATTTTTCCCTTGAGATAAATTGGTACTTCATTTTCCTCTGTCCTCACTAAGAACATAATAGATCATACCTGATGTGTTGCTAAAGATGTGTGACGAACTGAACAGACTGCCAACACATCACTGTGTTTTAAAGCATAGGTGTTGGGGGTCTCAGTATTCCTAACTAGAAAAAAGGCTGATGCTCAGATTATTGGGCAGATGGTCTATAGGAAAGTATATTAACCAAGTAAACCTTTATATTGATTAAGCTATTTCAGCAACAAATGTTGAGAGGGCATAATGAAGTTTAATAGCATGGATATTAAACAGCTCGTACTGATAGCCTTTCAGGGTCAGTATGTGATCTTTGAATTCTAAGTACTCTATTTTTTCAGTTGCCCAGATTCCTTTCTTTTATAAGTCCTTTGAGCTATTGGCTCCAATCTGAAAGACAGATCTTTATGATGACATTTCACTGTAGCTTTCCATTCTTAAACTCAATATATTGAACTTCTAAAAGACCAGTTTGGTTAGATCTCGTTATAGAAGATTGCTATTTTTCACATTTCTATTTCATGGAATGTTTTATTTCATCTTAATGTGTACCACAATTCACCTGACTCTGGACTTCCTATTATGTTTTATATTATTTTATTTTGGTACAATTGATATCTAATTCAATATATTATTGATTCTTGATTCTCATTATTAAGGAAAAGGAAATTGAATTGAAAATAAAAATGTTCTATAGATACATATATTGTGTTGAGTTTTCCATTACTACTCTATGTCAGCATAAAGTTATTTAGCTAATATTTTCCCATATTGTGACATAATTAGCAAAATCATCATTTTAATGACTGAATTTTTTTTAATGTATGGTACAACACAAATCCTTCCACAGTTTTCCTACTATTCAGAGTTTACTGTTTAATATTCTCTTTATTTAGAGGTATAAATTAATTTCATGGACAAAAATCTTCCTATAAGTGTATTTACAATTTTGCATTTTTTCTATGGGTTTCTAGAAATGGAATTGCCACATCCAAAAGCATACTAGTTTTTATAAAAGCCTGGATTCTTTCTGAGGTTGCTTTCCCAAAGTATTTTTAATTTGGTAAAGTTATCGAAATGGGTTGTCACTTTCTCCACAGTGTTTCTAGAATTTTTGGTTATCATTTTTGTTTTCATAAAACAACTTTACTGGCCATCTAACTGATTTTTGTGAATAAACAGAAGTGTATTGTCATCTCCAAACATGTTAGGTCCAGAGCTTTATTATGGAAGTGGATCACGGATACCGCCACATCACTGTGAGGAACACAGGTCCCTTAACTTGCAAATGAGGAGTGTCCATTGTTGCAGGTTCTAAGCCAGCAAAGAATCTGTTCTTCTTTAGCATGTTTCAATCTTTGGTCATCATCATTGTTCTAATTTCAGTATTAGAGAATCTCAAAATTAGGTTATGAAGGCACATAAGAAATGACAAAATAGGAAATGTTCTCTGCAAAAAATAAAATAAAATAAAAAATAAACTAAGTTGTTTTTATTCCAAAATAAACAAGATACGGAAATCTTTGTGCTTTTATTTTAAAGTAAAAGGAACATAGAGTTTATGGTCTAAATAATAGAAAATAAAAAATCCTCATATCTAGGCTGAATGTCCCTATATAAAAAGCAAAATAGATGTCTGTTGACCACAGAATACACATTACTATACAGCAGTTATAAATTAATGTGTTCCTAAGTAGCCCACATGCAATATGACCCTATTTCTTTTTCATTAGAGTGGGATGCTGTGCTGGAAGTGTATGATTATTCTAAGAGTGTACAATGCAGTTTACCTGGATTTACACACACACACACACACACACACACACACACACTAATATATATGTAAACTAATCTGGAAACTAACTTGTACTCAGTATTTTCTAAGAACTGAGAACTAACAAAATTATAAGGACTAAATTTACACACACTTTAAGACCATTTGGGTTAATGCACCATGGTAATATTTTTTGTTACAAAACTGTGTATTCTGTTATTAATTAGGTGTTTGCTTGAGTTGGGAAAAAAGAAAACTAGCTATGGTCTCATATAAATAAATATATATGACTGAATTTTTTTAATGTATGGTACAACACAAATCCTTCCACAGTTCTCCTACTACTCAGAGTTTACTGTTTAATATTCATATATACATATATAAATTATATGTAGATATTTTCTTTTATTTTTTCTGTATTTTTTGCTTTAAAAGGTTTCTCACCTCCCTGCCTTACTTCAGTGTTCATTCTTTTGAAAACATGGTAGTTTCTCTTTAAGCTTCATATTTTAGAAACATTGCATGCAGTCAATTCATTTTAGTGCAAATGATTTCACTGTTGATGTCACTTTTGCTGTGAGGTATTCAAGTTGTTGATTTCTCTAATCTGTTTTATCAATAACTTACCATTATATTTTCAGATTCCAAGAAAATAAAAAATCCTACAGAAGGTAGTGTATACATTTCTTTCTGTATCTTTTATTTTATGAGCCCTAAAGTAGCTTTTTTCTTAAAGAATCAATATTGAAAAAAAATACTTATGAAATAAAAAATGGGAAGGGGGGAGAGAGAGAGAAAGAAAGAGAGAGAGAGAGAGAAAATAAAGAATTCAAATCTTTTCTATTAACACTGCCATGAGAAATAGTCAGTAGTATTAAAAAAATAAATCCTGCATATATTTACTTTTGACAGTTATCTTTCTCAAATTTGCTTTACAAATAAAACAATGTAAAGTATCAAGCACTCATTTAATGAGAAAGTATACATTCAGTTAATTTTCAACACATCAGCATGGATTATAAATGGAATGAAATCATAACCCATTTGGCAAGTATATACTTGCATCTTTTGGACTTTTTCACATTTGTTCATTGGTACAAAGTATTTATCTACACAATTTTTTAAGTTTGTCCATGTGTGTTTATTTAAGAAGACTGCCAGGTGTAAATAATTTAAAATGACTAAACATTATAATAATTGTCAAATAATGTTTTTAAATCAAATTATGGCACTTCTTATGATAATGGACAATACCTCAGAGCAACACTCATTGTAAAATTCAAGGGGAAATATTTGGGAGACTGTGGAAAATATGTGGTCTAAGAAATATGATAGTAGTGAGTTTTATCTTTAATGCTTTTAAGATCAATGTTTTTCTGTTTATATTTCTTTCAACAGAGCAGTTGAAGGGAAAAAGTAAGAAAATGCATGCAAAGTCTACTTGCCTGTGGTGTGTGCTGTTTCTTTCTACTGCTATAAACCGGATTGCTGGTGTATTTAAACTTGCAATCTTGAATGTACTTGTTCTATGTTTTATGCATGTGAACTGCTTTGTTTTGTTTTTTTCTGGCTTTTTTTTTTGTGAGAATGAAGAATACATGGCCTACAGGGTCAGAGTGACCTGGAAAGCATAGCCAGCTTTTTTATAACCTTTTTTTTTTCAACTCTGGCAAACACTTAATAACACTATCCACAGTTTTGTAACAGAAAATATAAACATGTTGCATTAACCCAAATGGTCTTAAAGTGTGTGTAAATTTAGTCCTAATAATTTTGTCAGTTCTCAGTTCTTAGAAAATACTGAATAGAAGTTGGTTTCCAGGTTAGTTTTATGACCTCATCCCTATTGTCTTTCTTCTTGTAATACATAAATATTTGACATGTGTAAACAATATATTACATTTTGTCTGTGATGTGATATTCTCCCTATAGGCACTATGACCTCTGTGTAATAACATTGCTTGGCATCCATATCTTAGGCATAGTTCAATGTTACTTTGACACACCATTAAACTTGGTAACTATTCAGTAAAGTTCAATGCCTTGAGGTTGTGTCTTTTGCAAACATGTATTCTCCTCTGAAGAAAATGAGAGACATTTAACAAATCAAAATTTAAAAATAAAATTTACCTTACTCAATTAGCTATTAAAAATTAGCGCCATTCCAGGACTATATATTCCTTAAGATCCCATTGGTATTAAAAACATTAGCTTTAAAATATACGACATTTAAAAAAATGCTTATGTATGTTTTAGCCCTATAAAGTTAGGACTCTGAGATATTCAATGTCATGAAAGAGCTCTAAAATGTCCTGTAGAAAGAATCATGAACAACCAGCCAGAGGGAGCAATTTATCTGTGGAGAAGTGTGTGTTTGTTCAGCATCAGATGTATGAGTGTGCACAGCTGCTGATAAGTTCTGGCACTGGGATACAAAATCTACTCCACAAACCAGCAGGAAAATGGAGGACAACTGGAGATTTTAAAAATTATATATATATATACACACACATATCTCCTTAAGGCCTTCACTTTATTGCAGTTTATATGATTTAAAATGTCCTGCAGACACATGGCAGCTCCTTGGCAATCTTCAGGGCGTTGATGTATTTAATAAATAAACATGACTTTTCAGGCCTTCATTTATAGAACAACACATTCCCTCCTTGAGAAGTTCCATAGATGTGACTTGGGAAATCATTAGCAGAAGAAATTGTTTTCTTCAAAACAGCTATGAATTTTTTCCAAATTAACTTGTTTGTTCTGATTTGTCATTTAGACTTGCTTTTGCTATTGCTATTATTATGTGTTTGAATTTTATTTGGATTTATCTTCAAAATTGCTGCATTTGATGTTATATTCTAGCCTTATATTCTGTTTCCATTTTTCTTTTTAATTAAATTTAAATTTAATTTAATTTCTTTTGAATTAAAAGTTTGTTTTCCAAGTCATTTTCTTTAAGTTTAGACCTATTTTTAAGTATAAAAACAGGGTGAAGGATTCACATATACTTAATTTTGTAAATTTTGTATATTTTATAGATTCCTGTAATCTATATTTTTTTCAAAATAAAAAGAAATAACTCAAATGATCAATTAGGGCCTTATTTGGCAGTCCCTGTAGAATTTAATGGTAAAATTGTTTATATTTATCATTATATTAATAATAATTATTAAATAATGCATAATTATTCAATAAATATTCTATGCAATATCATATATCGTAAAAATGTGTTTTCTTGCATATCATCCCAAATAGCACAGTATATTATTATGTGATGACTTTCTAATATTCTAGGGCAGTCTTTTTTTCTTTAACTTTAAATTTCATATATTGCTGGTGCTTGATTTTGATGTCCTGTGCCCAGTAATTTCTTTTTTGTTTGTTTTAATTACTTTACAAATCTCGTATAGTTCAATCTTTCATCCAGCAGTTAAACAATACATTTAATTTGCCAGATACTTGGTAATATTTTTGTTATGTTGGATTTTGCTCAGTCACCTATACTCCTTCCGCTTAGCCTGCAACCCTTGCTCAAGCAAGCTCTTTTGTTTGTTCTGCTGCCTGTGCATGGTCCTAGAGTGTTCAAGTTGCTCTTTACCCCTGCACAATGATAAGACTGATGAGTGGAACTGAAGGTTGGTAGATTGTGCCATCACCATACAGGGTTATGTGACCCCAAGTGTTTCTAATATACAGTTCATAGAATTCTTTCAGCATGAATAGTTTCCAGTTTTCAAATTTTATTCCATAAATGAAACTTTAAGAAATTTCTCTAACCTTTTCCTTTAAAGTGTCAGATAGTGTCTAATAGTATTTCTTGAAAACCTTCTTTTAAATTAATTTGACATGCTTACCTAGTCAAAATAAATAAGAATAGAATGTGGATGATAACATTTCGCATAAAATTAGTGCTTGCACTTCATGTAAAATTAGTACACTGTATATTGTAAATGTTAGCTTCCTCTTTATCTTTTGAGGACGTATATAATTTATTATTAACTTAACCCATCATAGAAAAGGAATGGAACACAAATCAAGGAAATGTCATAAATCCAAGAATCTGCTGAGGATGTCCTGACATACTGCCACCACATAGGACCCAGCACTGTGGGTCCTTCTCCAAGGCATTGCTGCCCTGTAGATTTCCAGTTTGTTATTCCTTCTGGAATGTTGATTCTGTGAAAAACCATATTGTCCTCTTGTAGAGTGTTGTCTTCTTTCTTTTTTTTTGTATTAATTTTTATTGAATCTGTTTAATTACCTAAAACATTAGAATACCTTTTGATATAATCACACAACTATGGAATATAATTTGCTCTAATTCAGTCTCTAGCACTTTCCCACCTGCCTCCCTTCTCCTGCTCCAGTCTCACTACTCTACTGATATTTCACTGTACTGGTAGTTTTTTCTTTCCTTTCCTTTTCTTTCTTTCTTTCTTTCTTTCTTTCTTTCTTTTTTAAATTAGTGTCTTGTGGATATACTTGATGTTAGGATTCACTGTGCTATATCCACGTATGCACATGTGAAAGTGGAGTCAGTTTTATTCCATGGTTCTTCCCTTTTCCCCTCTCTACTTCCTCCCCCTCTATCCCCTTTGTTTATTCTACTGATCTTTCCTCTGTTTTGATGAAATTCCCTTTCCTTTTTTTTTCTCTCTTTCTTTGCATCTTCCTCACCCTGTTGGATTTATTTCTGCATATTAGAGAAAACATTTGACCTTTGACTTTTGGGGACTGGCTTATTTCACTTAGTATGATAGTCTCCAGTTCAATTCATTTACCCACACATGCCATAATTTCAGTTTTCTTTATGGCTGAGTAATACTCCATTGTTTATTTGGACAACATTTTCTTTATTCATTCATCTGTTGAAGAGCACCAACTTTGTTTCCATAGCTATTGGCTATTGTGAATTGTGCTGCTATGAATATTGATGGGCCTGCATCAATATTAGATGCTGGTTTTAAATTTTTTGGCTATATACTGAGGAGTGGGATAGCTGCGTTATTGCTAGTTTTTTGAGCAATCTTCACACTGCTTTTCAGAGTATCACATTACTCTGCAGTCCCACCACCAACAGCATATTTTTTCCCCACATTCTCACTAGTATTTATGATTATTTATATTCTTGATAGTTGCCATTCTGACTGGAGTGAGATAAAATCTCAGTGTAGTTTTGATTTGTGTAGCCCTATTTTCTAGAGATATTGAACTTTAAAAATAAATATTTGTTGAGCATTTGTATTTCATTATTTGAGAAGTGTCTGTTCAGTTCTTTGCCCACATTGTTTAGGTTATTTGTGTGGTTTTGGTGTTATGTTTTTTGAGTTCTTTGTATGTTCTGGATATTAACGTCCTACTTAAGGAGCAGGTGGCAAAGATCTTCTCCCATTCTGTTGGCTTTATGCTCTTAATGTCTCTTGAGTCTAGAATAATGCTTGTGTCAAACAATATTGACTAAAGAAGGTTCTTAAAAATAAATGTTAGCTGAGAACTCTATAAGGAGCATTTGTATTTCTTCCTCAAACCAGGCAAGAATGTTTTGCTTCCTCCTTTGCTTCTTAGCTTATTTTAGTGTCTTAAATATATCCCAACAGAATATTTTTCTTAGCTAAATTAATATCTCTTCAATATAAGAATATATTTAGAAAAGACAGTAAATATGAAATCTGTCCATCTTCATTTTTTCTGAGAATTATTTTTAAACAGTCATAATAGCTATCCTTTGAGCTTACTTTCCATTCCAGATTTATTTCATGTAGATCTAAAATGATAATAAATTTATTTTTCTCCATTTTTATAGATTCTTTTTATGTTTCTGGTTTATTATTTATGTAAATTTTGAATTCCTGTAAATATCCAGAATATTTTGATGCTACTCTTTGAGGGAACTCCCAAGAGAAATTATACTCTCTTCAAGGTATTTATTAGTTGCTGCAATCCAGCATCAGCATGTGGGTTTGCTTATGTTAAAACAATTAAGATGTGATTCACATAATTGTAATAATAATAATGATGATGATAATGATAATAACAATAATAAAATATGTTTCAGAACAAGAAAAGAAAGAAAAACATGCAGAACCAGGTAATTTATTTAAAGTATTCTATTTTTTTAAATTTTATGATATTATTTAATTTGCAACTTAATGATAAATTATAAATGAATGGCATAGAATATTGATTTTTTTTTCTTTTCTTGCTTGATATAGCAAAGTCACCAAAGAAGGAACCTTCAGGTGAGTTACTCTGGTGAAGTGGACTCTCTCTACCAACAGGTAGCCTCAGACTATGTGTAAAGGGTGGTCTGAGGCAGGAAAGGTCAGGAAATCTCAGCCTTCCTTTCAAGCTCTTGACACAAACTTAACATCAAGGCAGTTTTACAAAGTAAAAGCCTGATAACATGCTGCACCCTTGCTACTCAGTGTGAGGCCTGTGAGCCAGCAGCATCTGATGCTGAGGTAGGAATGCAGACTCATTAAGAAAATGAATGCCCCACCCAGTCCTACTGAATAAGAAACAGAAACTTCATAATATACCCAGTGGACTCCTGTGTGCAATGTTTGAGAAGCAGGAATTTTTGTTTAGTGAAAAAAATGCAAAGAACAAAATAAAACATGAGCAAAACACTTCCTGTGAATGCATCTAATATTGCTTTGCTTTTCAAATATGAAATATTCACTTCCAGAAATATTCTCCCCCCATGCATAATGTTAATTAGTAGAATTTCTTGAGCACTTGGGGATTTATCTTTAAAAGAGTGGTAGATTTATTCTCAATATATTTGTAATCTAATAGGAAAAAATTGAACTGAGAATCAAACAATGAGACAAACCAACCCAATCAGCAAATACTGAAAGTGCAGTTACTATAGACACCAAATCATTTTCTTATTTTTTTTCTAACATTTTACCTGCTCAGTATGTTATTTGAATGAAAAACTTTGACGTTTCCTAGTGACCTCTATTTCTTTCTTTTTTATTTCTTTCTGTTTTTCTTTTTCTTTCTTTCTTTTTTTTTTTTTTTTCATGTTGAGTTTGTATGAAGAAATGTCACCCAAAGAACCAGGAGGTTTTATTGTTAGGGGAGGGTATTTGGGCTGGTGTGTGCTTGTGTTTATGTGCACATGTTGCAGATAGTCATAGCTTCATATAATGTCCTGTAGTTTGTGTTTAAGTGGAAATAATATTTGCCACTTGTACATAACAATGCAAATAGAGTTGCTACACCATAGGACTGTCCTAGCCACAACCATAGCAAATCACAGGTTTAAAGCCACAGTTTTCTTCTTCCCAGTTTGTTTTGTTAAAACTACTGCAATAACCCCAATCTGCTTAGGTATCTCTCCAACCAGTTCCATAGCATCATTTCCTTACCTTTACAATAGCATTTAATATACTGTTAAAATTATACTCTCTTCTTTTTTACACTTTCAACAGTTCTTAATTAGAGAATAGGGCCTATTTTTATCTCTTTATTTTCAGAATGCCTATTTTGATTCCAAGCACACAGAGGGCACTTGATAACAATGTATGAGGTGAAAGAAGGACACCAAGTAGAATAATCCCAGTTTTTAAAATTTAAAAACTGGATGACTTCCAAATACATAATTTACAAGATGAAGTAATGGCACATTTCACTATCTCACATTAACAGCCCTACCATTTAACCTTTGGTAAGGAATGGTTTATCTATTTATAGAGAACAGCCTATTTGTCCAAGAATGCATTCCCACAAGTGCTCTGTAACACACATTTATACTTATGTACATATGCAAAAAGCTCAAATGGAGACACATTTTAAAATATGGAGGGGCATATCAAATGACTTTTGGTATAACTAGTTTTAAGGATCTTCATAGCTAAATACCATGTCTCATATTGAACATGACACAATACCATAACTTAAAATTGCTTCAAAACATCTGTTCATTTCAGGGTTTGATTACAGTGTAGCCACTTAGCAGTAATTAGTTTTATTTTTAAAATTTAAACCATTGGATAATCTGCCATATTATTTCTTTATTTATTTTCACTTCATTTTATAGAATTTGAGGAAAATGTATTTTCCTGAATATAAAAGCAATCAGATCCTTTGCAAACTTAAAATGGAAAACTAATAAGTGAGTCATGAATGATCCTTCTATGTTGGAAGATGTTTAAATAGCAGTCCCTCAGAAAACAAAAACAAAAATCTGTGGTTCATGAGTATTTTTAGAGTATGTCAAAGAAATTGTAGTGCTATGTATTCTCTTTCTAAGATTTGCTTTGTTGTTGTTGTTGTTGTTATTGTTGTTTTTGTTTTTTCCTTTTGGTCCTTAAGATTATACACATAGTCTTTTAAGCAACTAAAATAACTTTAAAGTTATTTTATAAAAAAACAAGTATGTTTAACATAGACCTTCTTTCTTATCATTAACAGCTGCAAGTGAAAAACAAGTGAAAGCAAGTATGTTGAATAAAACTTTTAAGTGGAGCATATTTTAGCAGCTTATTCTCTTGACTGTTCTGCTGTAGACATTGCTAATGCTAATTTTTGAGCTGGATTGCCAATTTTTTGTGTTTGGAATAATATGGCAAATTATTCATTTCTGTCTTTTCTGTGAATTCATGCTTCTGACACTTTATCTATAGAGCTTTACTTTGTAAATTTTAATTTGTCCAGATAACCTCTCTTCAAATTGTGACCTGTTTTATACTTTGCAGAATATGTGATCTCTTCATTTTCTTAATTAAATAATTCTTTAATTATTCTAATGATTAATTGTTTGAAAAAAACAGGCAACATAATTTGTCTACTATAAATGTTGTGTCTTTAATAAAATGTACCCCCAAACCCCAGTTTTTTAACTGTTATTTGCTATCATATTCTTTTTTTAACCCATGTAACTTTAGATTATGAAATATTGACTGGCAACTATAACATATTATGCCATTTGTATCAGTGGTAGCCTTGACAATATGCTCAAGGGAAAAAAGCTGATTTCTTTTGTTGTTTGTAAATCTTAATTTGATAAAATACCTAACAGGTTGCCATTAATGAAAATTATTTTAAGCATAAGGGCTTGCATTTTATTTTTGGAAAAAAGAAACATGGTTAGCTTCTTTAAGTTTTGGATATATAACCCATGGTCAGTTGTGTGCATGATAAAATATATTTATATTTCCCTTTGGGTTAGAGTTATATAAGTACTGATGATGATACTAATACATAATACTTTCAGACCTAGTATATCACTGGTAAACATATCAGTGAATAATTGGAATATATGTTAATTAGATAGGTGAGAATGTCTTTCTTTTTTTCTTTTTAAAAAAGATCATTGCTTTTAAATTTTTTCCCTTAGACACTGGGGACTTTAAAAGTGAAATTTAGCATGAATCTAAAATTCCATTTATATTTCCATGAAAAATTGTGAGTTTAAAGTTGAATGCAAAGCTAATTGGAACTCTATATTATGAATTGTTTAGTATGCTAGTACTTAGTCTGTAGAAATTCATAATCAAGAAAATGTATAAAACAAACTGATAATTTCACAGCTCTGGTAAAGAACTTTAGATTAAAGATTACTCTATAAATTAACATTTTCTTAGTAGGAAAATGTGACATAGATAAAAATATTCATCTGAATTTTTAAAAAAGTCTGTGTGATCTGCCAACTATGAAACACACTATCCAATCAAGTTTTTAAAAGATCAGCATGTTTTGCAGGAGATTAGCATATTGGGTTACCAAATCATTAAAACCCAACATAAAAATTTGAAGAGTTAATATTCTGCCCCTTATGTGGTTGAGACATATGAACTTTACATGGACATTTTCTGTCAATATAAAAATTAATGAGAGATAACTCATAAGCTGTTCAGATTTTCTAATAACAGCCACTTCTCCAATTAAGAATTGGTTTCTTGTTTGTCGTTTGGAAATTATAGCCTTACAACTTAAGAAGTGTTGCACATTTCCTATATATAGTGGGCTGTTTGTAAAGTCAATGCCTAAAATGAAAATTATATATCATTACAAATACTCTTGAAAAGTCTTTAAATCTTCCATATAGTATGGTGCAAATAGTTTTGTGTATGTAGCCTGCACATCTGGAGTACAAATTTACATTATCTTAAATTATGAGAGCAAGTGTGAAAGTGAAATATGTAGCTGAATTAACATAAATCAAACATTTATGTAATGAAATTCCATGGTATTGTATTTCATAGGAAAGGTGATATTGACAGAGCAAGTCCATGGTAAATGTAAAGGGACATTTGCCATTAACACTGGATTAGAGAAAAAAATAGAACAAAGATTAATTTAATAGATTGAAACTGTTCCTTCAGGTACTGATGAATAATTGAAGTCATACTAGGAAAAACACTGGAAGACTTGATTGAACTATGGGCTGTATCATTTCAGGGTAGAGCTTCTAATAGATTTTTAAGAACTTGAAGAAAAGAGAAACCGTCCCAGGTTCAATGACACAATGCTGGGGAAGGTCACATCTAGAGTTATGGGCCACAGAATGGTGTTGATAGAAGAAGAATGCCTTGAACCAGGCAGGGATGCCAAATCTAGATTTTACAATTTCTGCAAGACAACACAGATAACTCTCTTTCTCAGGGAACAAGTAAAAAGTGCCTCAGTGCAACAAAGTCTCATCACTACAGTTCCCTGAGCATGTTCCCCCATACATCATATAGCCACATAGAGTTTGGCAATTCAATTAGGATCAAACAAGGAGGCCATTGGAGTAGAATAGTTCAGATGTTGAATACTAATCATGGTGAATCTTCAATAAAGTCTATAGCAGTTGTTGTGTATTCAATAGGTTGACCACATCCCCCCAACTTTATTTATTTGGGTCAAGGATCAGTGTTTTCTAGTCCTTGGGAGGCACTGTAATAGTTCACTTCCTCCATGTTGAAGACTTTGAGGTTTATATCACATACCCCATATGTGTGTTCAACCAGCCTGTGGTCAATTTGAATTTAAGAAAAAATTTTCATCAAATACCAGGTCAGGACCAAAGTCTAGTCATTTTTAAACTGTGGATCTAAATTTTTACAAAAATAGCAACAAACCGACATTTTTCGTCCTCTGATTTTAAGTATTCCGCAGATTTTTGAGAATGCTCAGCCACCAAGCCTATGTTCATCACTCTAACCACACATCAGTGTCTAAATGTGTAGGTCAGACTTCTGTGACCTGTTCTTCCAATGCATGTCAGGATCATTCAGGAGAAGCCAGTATGCAGAATTGAACAGTTAAGTCCTTTTGAATTTAATTAGCTTTTTAACATTAAAGTAATACTTGGAGACAATTTGTATTAGCAAAACGATACATTTTTGGACTCAGTAGTACATTTTCTGGCATAGGAATTCTTGAGGAAAAGGAATATGGACCTGAACCAGCACATCTGATATCAAATAGAATGTGTGTATACCAAACATGATCATGAATGTCAGCAACAGTCATGTTTGACTATACTATCCCAGGATAATTATTACTAGACCATCTTCTCACTTGCTTAGTCTGTATAATAATTTACAGGATGGCTCCTCACATCTCAGTCGCTGTTGTCCAAATACACTCAACACAGTATTGATGTAGCACTGGAGTAATGTACCAGGAAAACTAGGTTGTGAGGGATTGACTGAGGAAGTAGGGCAATACATGCTTGTTATTAAGATTATGTGTAAAGCTAAGATTGGTGTACTGAGTGATAGCTTTAATTTGGAAAATTTCATGGTACAGAATCCAAGAATGTCCACCAAGATTGGCAAAGAAAAGACAGAGAGAGAGAAAAAAAATTACTAGCAGAAGCAGTATCTAAGGCTGATTTAGACACAAGGAAGTAGGGGAGGAGGCGGTGAGGATTTTAAGTAAGAAACTAGGAATAAATTTCAGTACCAGAAAATAAAATGATGTCCACAGAAAAACAGCAGTATAAATGATAACAACTGAGAGACCACTGTTGGGTTTGAGTCTTAACTGTGTAAATACACAGATTTTCTGATATTGTTGTTCAAATACATCTCCTGATATTATTATTTCAAAGAGTAGCATGGTATTGGTGAAGATGCAGACAAATTCTCTAACAAGACAGAGAAAAAAAAACAAGACCTAAATTAAATCCCGTGTGAGCAAAAATCTGACATAAGAAAGAACAGCCATTTCAGATAGAGAATGGCTAGATTATTTTAAAATGTTGCTGATGTAGTTAGAATTCATTACAAAAAAATGTAATTTATCCTTACTTCATACAATTCTAAAATATCAATCCCAGATGGTTCAGGGACTAAAATAGTAAAGGCAAAACATTGTGTTATTTTTTAAAAAAGCCTAGAAAAACATATTTATAATTTTTTGAAATATGAGAAAATTGGTAAAACTAGATATGAAAAATTTAAACCATGAATTTAAAAGTTGATTTATTGCATTGACTGAAGTATTATTAGGCCTCCTAAAGAGATATAAAAAAGAAGCCACAAACTTGTAAATGCTGTTTGTAACACAGATAAGTAACAAGAGACTAGTTGCAAAAAAAACCCAAAAAAACGGAAAAACAAGAGGAAGCATTTGACCATTAGGCAGAAGAATGGGCCGAAAAACAGAAGCTAGAAGCAAGCTTAAAAATAGAAAAGTGCAAATGACCTGCAAACATTTCCAAATGTTGAACTTCTAAGCAATATTGGAATTTTACATAAACTCGGAAAAGGATACTATATATTCATATCAGATTAGTATAAAGTGGGAGATATGATCATATGATGACGATGAATGGAGCAATAAAAACTTGCATACACTAGTGATGTGAATGTAAAATTTTGGAGAAAAATATAGCATTTATATACTGAACTCAAACATGGACACATGCCATGGCCCAGCGAGTTCACCTTCTAAGAACACTTTTGCACATGTTTATAGTCATTATTTATATTAGCACATAATTAGACATGACCTAGAGTCCATCGACAGTAGAATAGATAATGTATAGAATTTTTACACAATGGGATGTTATATAGCAGTTCAAAGTGATCAATGACAGCTACTCATATCAACAAGGCTCTCTCTCTCTCTCTCTCTCTCTCTCTCTCTCTCAGCCTCCTGTGTATTGGAATTATATTTGTACACTACCATTCCTGGCCATTTCAATGTTTTGAAAAAAGCAAATGAGAAAAATTAAGCCATATAATCCAATTTATACAAATTTATTCACTAATCAATATAATTTAATTCATATAAAATTATCTTACCTCTATTTAGAGACAAATATATGTAATACAAAATTGTATAAAGAAATATTTTTGTGAAATTAATGTCAAGAGTGACTCCAGGATGAAAAGAGTTATTATGCACAACAATGCTGGGGTAAGTCAGAAGTTTCCAAAGGTCTTGATAGCATTCTATTTCTTAAGCCTGTAGGGGATATACAAATGTTTGCATTCATTATCACCATTCACTAAGATATGCACAAATGTCAGGTGCCTTTAACTATATCATATTTTTCACTATAAAACAAGTTTAAAAATAGAGAGTGAGAAAACAAAAGTGCTGGGGTGGAGTATAGAAGCTCTCTAGAGGCTGCATGGAACAAGGAGGGAGCAGGGAGTTGAAGGATGTGGTGGTTTGTCCATAGGTGAGAACTTATGAGGTAGCAGATAGGAGCAACCTTGCAAGAACAATGACCTTGAGTAGTTACAAGGAGGTGGGACCCAGATGGAAGGATACATACTAAATAGCTGCAGAGACTGATTATCCTTTAAAACTTGAAAAAGGATGGGTATATGCTAGTGAGGTGGTACAAAACTGAGGTAGCCTTACTTATTTTTTCTATGAATTTCTCAAAGGCAGCTTCTCTTTATGTTGCTGGATTTGGACAGTTTGAGGAAAGAGTAGAATTTGTGAGCATTTTGTCAAGGGGGAGGGGAAAACAACTTCACTAGGTCTGGGAGAATATTGCTGGCCAGTGCTGAACATTCCCATGAGTCTTGTGATTGACATTTGAATTAAGGTTGGCAATGCAGTTAGGGTCTTTCTCCAGGTCAGATGGCTGCTTAGGCGACTGGCAAAAAATACATTGGGTATTTTGCCAGATATAATAGATTGAACTGCAGCCCCCACAAAGTTATATTGAAGTTCTAACTCTGTACCTGCGGTCATAATTTTATTTTAAAATAGGGTCTTTACAAAGTTAAGCTGTGGTCATATTAAATTGGAATGGGCCTTAAATCTGATGACTTGTGTCTTTATAAGAAGAGGAAAATTTTGAAACATATACATATGTAGAGAGAGAACAGCTGTGTCAACAAAAGAAAGAAATTAGAGCCACAGCAGACAGAGAAATGCCAAGGATTGCTGGCAATCACCAGAAGCTTTGGAGACACAAAGAGAATCCACCCTACTGCCTTCAGAGGGAGCTTCAGAGGGCCATGTCAAGGCCTTGATTTTGTACTTCTACCCTGCAGAGCCTCAAAAAAAAAAATCTGTTATTTTTATCCACCCAGCATCTTAAAGGCAGCCCTAGAAATGAATGCAGAAGATGACTATGAATACTAAACAGAAGTGAATGATCTAACCACAGGTCATTTAATCAAGCTTGGTTAGAGGTGAAGACAGGACATGAGGAAGATCTTGAGTGGTAGGAAAGTGGTAAGATTGAAGGAATCACTGTATTGATGGGATCAGATACTATTTAGAGGGAGTTCTTGAGTAGGTGAAATGTGAAGACAAGCAACAGTACCAGGGAACAGGATTTTTGAAATCAAGTTTTGACCATAATGGAAAAGCCCAAGTGTATATTTGTGGTAGTCATCAGAGAAGTGGGGTTCCTGGTTTTCTCAAGTGAGGAGCTCAAGGAAGTGAGAGCTCATGTGGTTGCATGCATCATGTATAAGAGTTTTGACATTTGAATTAAGGTTGGCAATGCAGTTAGGGTCTAATTCTGTTAAATATTAGAAGTGTTTGAAAATCATATAAGTATACCAATACCCAGGACTCACCCCGGGCTCATTAATTCAGGCTCTGCATCTCACCTCAGACATCTGAATAGAATAGATTTATCAAAATTCTCCAGCACATTCTAATATACATTTAGCTTTGAGAGTGATTCTTAATTAAATCCCACAATAGCAGTAGTGTAGAGAAGGGTAGTGATGTGCAAAATTATTCAATGAATGAAAGGATATGCTGCTAGGTTGGTTGACAACAACAATAAAGAGGGTTAGAGCCTGCTACGATTTGACAGTGTGTACTTTAGAAGAACTGGGATCTGGAGGAAACAAGGAGATGACAATCTATGGAAAGAACTGAGAAGCCAAGAGTGTTAAGTGTATACCCCTTCCAGATGCCTTAATATGTGGAGCATGGAAAAATAAATGTTCTTTATTTTAAAAAACTCTAGGGACATAACAACTTTGGAGAGATAGGGCTTGGTTTATGGATAGAATATAGGGAACATATTAAGAAGCTGAAAATACAGGGACAAGTACTGCTAATGGACAAAGGGGATAGTGGAAGGGCTTTGGAAAGAGGTAAAGTTTTGGAAAGAAATACAGAGCCATAAATTCTCTTTTCTGCTGGAGAGCTCATGGTAGACCTGAGGCAAACGGGAGTAAAGATCACTGTAGGATTGACCTGAGAAGATTCTTAGAGGAAGTTTGGTAATCAGTTTCCAAAATATGGTCCAGTTCAACAGCAAAACTATCACCTGGGAACTAGTTAGAAAGGCAAATTCTTAGAACATGCCCTGAGTTACCATCTCAATTTCCTGGACCTGACTCTGTATATTAAAAGCCCTCCATGATGATTCTGATGCATGCTGAAGCAAAGAATGACTGTCAAAGTCACCTGGAAGGTATAAAATACTAAGAGGTCTGCTGGGTCCTGGAGCTCACAGTCTTGAGGCAGCATGAAGAAGAGGGTATTTATGTGACTTCTTTTGTAGGCTTAATTTATTCTCTTGTGGTATCTAATACTATGGTATTAAAACCTGAAGTTATTGAATGCCTCTTTTCAATCTCTGATCTCTCTCATAGCCCAAGGCATTGTGGTATAGCAAAGAAAAGGGTTTGAAGGTGTCCACTGGTTATTTTTTCCATAGCCTCAGCTATGGTGATATGGGTGGTAGGGGACAAATACAAATGCCAACAAAAATAAAAATAAAACATATCATCAAGGGAACAACTTCACATAATAAAATGTTTGTAAAATGAGTAAATAAAGTGGGTTATGAACTCCCATTTTTACCCCAAATACAAATTGCAGAATCATATCGGTTATGCATCCACATTTTTACATAATGCCATATTAGTGACCGAATCAAACGTATGAAAGATGATACGTCATGAGCTTTGTAATGTTTTGAACAACCAATAAAAAAATGAGTAAATAAAGCTTTGTAAAAATTCACTACCTCATCATTATTTTTCTGTTTTTCACGTGAACTATAGAAAATGCCACCTTTTCAATTAGTTTACCTAAATTTGTGATTACATAAAATTTTTTAAGAGAACATTCTTTTGTATGTATTCAAAGATTAACTAGAATCCAGGCTTCAGTTTCTTAAATGAAATCAACTGTTCCTTTAGTATAGGCAACTTCCTGTTTTTATTTTATATCACAACTCATTTTACTATTGATAGTTGACCTGAATAATCAATCATGGCAACAACAGGATTCCTTAGGAATCGCAAATTTCCTTACCATTGAAACTATATCACTGTTCTACAGTAAGCACTTGTGTTTTGTGATATGATAAAGTAAATGATCACTTTGATCACATTTCTATGCTATAAAATGTCTTATTAGCAATAAAGATTAAATTTTACATTGCACTATTTAGTGAGGAAATGATCATTTATGTCCTTCTTAGTAATATTAAAACATGGAATGCTGTAACAATTAAGTGATCCAAACAATGTTGTGTTTGTATATGGCATTGATGCATAGTAGAATAAAATTATACTTAAGTACTTTCAAAATAAAAAAAAGAAAAAAAAGAAAAGAAATGCCTCCTTTAATTAACTTTGATATTAATTCCAATATTTTGTAGTATAATCAACATTTCAGATTATATCTTCAGGGCAGCTCTTCCATGCAAGATATTCTGGCCTTTAAAATTATCTTTCTCTTTGTTTTTGAAAGCAACATTCAAATGAAATTTTCTGTAATATTATGGCTCATCATTTAGAATGCAAAGTTAACCGATAGAGGTCATATCATGTTGACTATTTCCATAATTAAACAAGCAAGGAAGACTTTCCAAGTGCTCATCCCTAAAAATCCATATACCACATACATTTAGCTGTAAACTAATCCTTTAGTATTCCATTGTATTTTGGGTAACAAGCCACCTTGTTTTTAATGATCACTACTTATTATATAAGAAAATTACTTAATATCACAGAGCTGTACCTTGAAAGGAAATTTCTGTAGTAATCTTCAAGAATGTCAATATGTTAAAAACCAAAGTGTACAAGCTCTTGGGAGTTTGCCTTTCTTTGCAGCTTGCTTTGCTCTCGGGTGCCATATATTTGGATTGTTGTGTTCTTGTCTGACTTACAATACTATGTCATATTGATCTGGTATCTCCAATATCCATTTCTCTCACTCCTTTAATATCTGAATTTGCAGAAATTGAACGAGGCAAAGAAGAGGTTGGTGCTGCTTCAACTAAGAAAGGTAAATACAGCTAAACAAACAGATGTCATGACTGTAACTTTTTTATGCTACATTTTCTAAGTGTATGGCATAGTGCTTAATGAAGAATTTTATTGATTTTACCATTTTATTGATACAGAAACTCGTTTTACACAAGATTTGTTGCATCTATGTTATCAAGGCTTTGTTTTTAGTTGTTCTAATGCTAGTCCTCTTTTTTTTCCCCTTAAAGTAATAAATTAATGCTACCCTAATTATAGTCAAATTGCAAGTTACCTTTTGGAAACTTGTGGAAATGAAACTACATAAAATCAGTAGGATTCCAGTCATCTCCATGGATCATTCAAATTCAATATACTGCCTTAGGAGGTTAGGGCCTGAACAAATGAAATTTTGGCTGACAAACTCACATGAAAAATATTCACTTTGTACAAGAATAATATGACATTAGGAAATGTAGTCCATGAGATGCTGACTTGGAGCTATTTTGCTTTAAGAAATACATTGGGACATTTGGAGTGAAATCAATAATGTATACAATGCCTTTAAAATTATCTCAAGAGAAAATTTAATAGACTATCCTTAATATATATTGTCTCTCTCTCTCTCTCTTTGTCTCCCCAACCCATACAAACTTACACACATATTTCACCAAAATGACATAATATTTCTAAAAATCTATTTTATTGCATATACTATATAAAGAGTACAAGCCAGTTAGGATGGTGCACTCTTGCAATTCCAGCAAATTGGGAAGCTGAAGGAGAAGTATTGCAAAGTCAAAGCCAGTTTCAGCAAACTAGAAAAGCCATACTTCAAAATAAAATTCTAAAAAGTGTTGGGGATGGCTAGGCATGATAGCACATGCCTATAATCCCAGTGACTTGGGAAGCTGAGGCATAAGGATCCCAAGTTCAAAGCCAGTCTCAACAATTTAGTAAGGTCCTAAGCAGCTTAATGAGACCCTGTTTCAAAATTAAAATAAATAAATAAATAAAAAAGGGCTGGGGATATTGCTCAGTGGCTAAGCACCAATGGGTTCAATACCCAGTACCAAAAAAAAAAAAAAAAAAAAAAATGGTTGGGAATGTATACCTGGGTTCAATCTCTAGTACAGGAAAAAGAATAAAATAGAGACCATGTATCAGAAATGTAGAAATCTATAAAATATATATGACATTTATCTGTATGTTCAAACACAGATTATATATCTAAATGTAAAGCATTACATGAATGTAAGCATTTACTTAAATTTATATATACTTTAATGTTTAAATATATTATGTATTTAAATATTCATGTATTATGAATATCAATTTATTTAAAAATCAATGGATATATAAATTCATACATATTTGTCTAAGAGAAGGCAACAAAAATTAAATAAAGCATTCTGAAGGTAAATATAAACTATATTGTTAGGTGATAATTATAAGCAATTGAACTATTAAAATCAATGGGTGTTCTTTTTTCCCATACAGCTCTATTATTCTGACTATACAGTAGGCAGGAATAAGGCCTGTTTTATAATCATTTAATTTCCTAATAACCTAATATGTGTGATGTCAGTGATCACAGCACATGATTCATTGATATCATTTTACTCTAAGTGTAGAGTCATGCATTTATTAGAAATCCATATTAATATATTTTCTTTTGTGGTGTTATATTCTGAAATTAACCTTGCTCAATTAAGTAGAATGTGAGTAAAAGCTGGTTACTTTAGAATGGGAAATGCCATGGTATTATGGAAAGGCAAACGGTCATAATATGGAGTCAGAAAAAGTCATTAATCTAGGCAGGATAGAAGGGCACAAGGCCCTATTAAGTGGATATAAGGCCTTGGCATTGATATATATGTTGAGAGTTAGAACAAAAATAGAGCCAAATTATGTTCAAAATTTATGGTCAAGGGTAAGACCTAATGGAGGTTCAAACAACAGTAGGTGGTTTTCTTTGGGAATTGGATTTCAGATACTGAGACTTAGGAAATCCCTGATTGTGGAAGATGATCAAGAGATAGAGTTAAAAAACAAAGATTGAACTGCTTCAAAGTAGCTGCTTCAGTACAGTGTGAATAACTTTCAGTCTGAGTGTTTAGGTATAAATACAAGCACACATTTTTTGACGTTCAATCATGTCAAATTGCAGTGAATTGAGAGACAGAAATGAAATTGAACAATCAACTACTGAAATCACAAGGGTCTTTGAGGAGAATAGTTCCTGAGTTTGAAGTGTGGCCAAATATTTTGGTTGAGGTTAAGAAGAACTGCTTGCTAGATTTAGGGGGAAAAATAATTTGTTTATAAACACAAATCATTGGAACTAATTTTATTTCCTGTAGTTAAGCTTAAATATCATGCCTTAATTCTGAATTTAAATATGGTTGTTCATAGTTTGCCTAAGTATAACATGAACAGAAACAAACATTTATTATCATAAATGTTTTGAAACTCAGATAGAGCTTTGTCATTTTGACAAATTACAAGCAAGAGCTAAAGGAAACTGTCCTCCTTGGTGAGCTAGTATGTACATTCCCTGTACCTGCACTGTGAGCTACACATGAAAATATGTATTGCTTTCATCATGAATTTAGTATCCAGCTCCCAACTCAACAACACTTAATGTGCCTTACTGAATATCCATTTTCTAGTCTTTTACAAGTAATCAGAATATGAAAGTAATTTCAGAATTATTTTTGTTACTAAGAAAATTGGAAAATTATTCTACCAAGTTACAGCTTGAACTAAGAACTGTGTGCAGCAATAAGTGGAATTACTGATTTTGCAGTTGTTTAAAAATTTTAAACAATTATATAAATTGTTTCATCCTAAACCTATTTTTAAAAAGTATAGACTATTTATTTGGAGATACATAGGACCTAATTATCAATATAATACTATTGTATCATATTGTTCTTCACTTTGCAATTTTCTATTATTTTCACTTTCATTTAACATATATTTATGATTATATACTATGTGGAAAATCAAGAAAATATAAATTAAATAATATTTTTCTTGAGTAATTGAACATACTGAGAAAAGAAAAATATTAAGTCATTAAGTTGGCTCCAATTTTTACTATCAATTGGAAGTTTTCTATATAACTGTTGCTCAAGGATTAAAGGTTGGGATAGCAAGATAAATTTTAAAAATGTGACATAGAAGTTTAAAAATTAGTCTGACCTGGGGAATATTAAAAGTGACAAAGTGGCATATAGGTAAATCTTACAAAATGATAGTGTGACAAGGGGTTGTAAAGATGTCTTGGACTTTGGTAACAGAGAAATGCTAGGTGGTAAGAATTTGCAGGATGTGTATAAGGAAGTCTCAAGTCTTAAGATGAGGCTACTGACCCTTCCATGCCACTGATGCTCTGGCTAATGCTGATGGCATTTTCCTTGATGAACATTGGACTATTTCAGTCCTTACAAAGCTAGATTTCTCCGTGGCTTCTACCAACTTTTCTTTCTGATGTTGGTTTTGTATTACAACACGATGTTCTAGTTCTCCCCATGTTTTCTTCTTTTTAAAATTTATTTCTTACATACATGACAATAGTGGAGTATATTACAATCATAATTATCCATTCACAACACATTTTTGTAACTCTGTATATAAAGTATATTCACACCAAATTATGCCATTATACATGAGCTCTCTTATTATTTTTTTGCATTACAATTATTAATACACCTTTATACCACAATTTATCATATCTCTGTTTGTATATAAGATATGTTGACACCAAATTCACATCTTCATACATGTATTTTGTATAATGATGAGGTTTTTGTAACTTCTTTGTATTTATTTACTTTGATTCCCATTTTTTTGGTGTACCTCAGATTCCATAACAACTCTGAGCTTATTCTTTACCCTCTTCTTGTGATAAATATATACATATATATGATATGCTGTCAAGATTAAGATTCTGTCCTTTATCTTGAAGATCCCAATCCTGTGACCACTTCAGAACTTCATGGTGAATTACAGGCTTACATGTTCAACTTCCCAATAAACACCTTCAAATTCAACCTGTCTTAACGTAAACTCCTCAATCCTTTTTCCTGAGTTGCTTTCTGTTTTCTATCCTTCTCCTCACTAGAAATCTAGGTATGATCTTTCCTCTATCTTCGCACCACCTGTTTATTCAAAGAATCTCAAAGTTCTGCTGAGTTTATTTCCTAAAGAGTTCTTGAATGTATTTTCTCATACTTATAATCCTTACTACATCACAAGTCCAACATTGATTATCTTGCACCTAAATCATTATAATGACCTCACTACTGCCCCCACATCTTAATAATTATGCCAGAAGTACCCCCAAAGCCATAGTAAATTATCCAAGCCATAATACTGAATAAACCACTCTTTATTTAATAATTTCCTCTCTCCAGTTTCCCATAAGTTCAATTTATTAAAATGCAAATAGAATCTCCCAATATCTGATTTCTATATCCTTTTCCAAATTTATCTTTCAGACATGCCCTGTTTTGTATGTTACAATAATACTCATATTTGCTCATATTTCCAAATATAAAAGATGTAAGATTTAGGAAGTAATAGGAAAGATGGCCTCACAAACACATTGTATAGTTCTCATAATCTGAGAATTGATGAAAAGAACCTCCCTTCCAGAAAAAGGATTGATGCAATACCTTTCTTTTATAATTATTGATTCATTCCATTGTTTCCATCATCGACATTTCTAAATATCACATTTAAAATCTGAATAAAACTTTGATAAATAATATTCTTTCTTATATCCTTAGAAATAGTGGCTCCTTCATCTAAAGCTATAGGCCTACCTCCAGGAAGTAATATATAAGTGTCACATGAGGGCATTTCAGCTAATGAGCATATGACAGTCCTCATGGGTGAGGCAGGGCAAGAAAGGAGAGATGCAAATGCTATGAGATATTTGCATTTCTAAGGAAAATTCTGGAGAGAAATAAAGAAAAAAATGCCTGGAACTCCAGAAAACCAACTTTTCCATCACCCTGTTAGGTCAGGCCTAACCCTAATCCAATTATCACAGTCTGTGGATGGAAGTTGTGGTACCTTTTTTCCTTTAAGTTAGTTGTCTCTCTGAAGTAGTGCAATATAAACTGACCTCGCTCTCCATCTTTCTTTCTCTTCTCTTCCTTCCTTCTCTTCTTTCCTTCTTTTCTCTCCTACCTAAAATAAACCCCTTTAAATGAAGACCAAAAAATATATACATTTCTTCTCACAACAGCAAAGGAGGAGGTTTCAGGTATCATGTAGTATAGAAAGAGAAATTGATTAAGATCTTCTTTTGTTTCCAGGCCATTAAAAAATTCACTCACTTAGATGAGCTGTTTATTCCCAAAGTTTATTCTCCATAGAATTAGGCTTCATGAATTTTACATTAGAACCATGAATGAAGAATCAACATCTAATGCAAAATGTCATGTTTTCTGTACAGATAATCAGCATTTTCAGTGACCTTTTCTAAGTAACAAAAATAGTGCTTTAGGAAAGTAGTGTCTTTATTTAATAGGAATGCTAGGAATTATTAATCCATCACTGAAAAGAATTTGGTCTTTATGGTTAAATAACTTTCAACTGTTTTCTGAGAGTCCAGTCTTCAAATGATTAAAATAAAATAATAATTAAATATATATGCATGTATTTGTATTATTCTACACATTTATAATAGGTCTTCTGAATAAGTAAATTTGCATAAGAATGCACACCCATGTGTACCCATGCAACTCTGTTATGATTGATTATGAATTGTCAGCATTTTATTTCTGCACTGATCTGAAGGGAAACATTCAAAGAAGACACTAATATACCACATGTCTTTCTTGCTCTTACAGCATCCATAAAAAGTCTAATATAGTTTTTTTTTGGTCCAGGCTTTCTGCAGGGCCCAGCCTCTATTTTTAAACTATCTCCATCTCATGTTCACTTTTCTTAAGGAATATCTAGGCTTGCCTGGGTCTGTGTGCTTCTTCACATCAGTTGGAAACTTCAAAATTGTTCCTCTTCAGAGAAAACCACTCACACAAAACTTATCCCTCTTCTCTCTTCACTCAGAATATATACCAAGGCATCTCATTTTTTTTTAACTAATATACTTTGTCATCAAACAAATCCATATTGAGTGTTTCCTATGTCAGGAGCAATGCTAGGTGCTGTAATAAATTCAAACAGCACATTTCTAAGTATCCCATGGATCCAAGGGAAAAAAAAAACTGATATTTTGGAAACATGATAAACTAATAATGTAATGAAAACACAACATTAAAACAGCTAAACTGTGGAGAGGGAATTTATACTCTTTTATAATTTTCATTAAAAAAGAAGAAAGGCAGGGCTGCAGGTATAACTCAATAGTAGAATACTTCCTTCACATGCATGAGACCATGAGTTCAGTCCTCAGCACAAAAATAAAACAACAATGATCAAAAATCAAAAACAAAACAAAACTTGCTGAAATCAAATATCTCAGAAGACAGGATTTTTTTTCTTAAATATAAAAAGTAAACCCTCCAAAAATAGATGACAGAGAAATCAAAAATAAACTATCAGAAGCTAATGAAATAAAAATCAAATATAAAAAATAAAAATCAGAATACAGCAGAATACAACTGACACTAGGATTGCTGTATGTATACACATGGATGTATAACCAATGTGATCCTGAAATCTGTACATGTGGAAAAATGAGAATTCATACCCTATTTGAATCAAATGTATGATATGTCAAGATCATTGTATTATCTTGAACAATAAAAAAATAAAAAAAAAATCAAATAAAAAATGAAAATCAAAGAGTGCAAGATAGACAGCAAAATTAAAAAAAAAAACAACTAAATTTCATCCTTTATGAGAAGCACATGTAAAATTGATAGATCTACCATAAGCATATGAAAAGCACACAGCATCATTACATAGCAGGAAAGTTCAAATTAAATCCACAATTTGATACTACTTCATAGTTACTTGAAAGACTAAAATTTTTCAAAGGAGCAATATTAGAAATTGTGCCCTTTAAAAGAAAATTGTTTTATTTATCTTTTGATTGCAGTATGAGGGAGAGATATGAAACACTTCATTATTTCCATATTTAGGATTACTTGTGCTTCCAGAATCTTATACTTAGTATCTATAATTCTAGAGATGTTTAACCATTTCCTCTTCAAATATTGCTTTTCTTCCTTGTGTTCATTCTTTATTTTAAAACATTCAATTAATTTTACATTAAAAATAATTCTACTGTTTCTATTTGTTACTTCCTGTGTATTTCCCATATTTTTGTCTCTCTTGGGATTTCTTCCTACTGGTAATACTAGCTTCCTATGTGCTCTTCAGGTGTGTCTAACTCATCCCTTTCCAGTTTTAATTGATTTTTTTCCTACAGTTTTCTTTGCTTATTTTCCAAATTTAATTTGCTTAAAAACGTGTCCCATCTCTAAATTTTGATTGGGGAGAATGAATAGGAGTTTGCCTGTAAAAGAGGGATGATTGTGTTTAAGGCAGTGATAAATGGAATAGCATGTTCTAGTTACTGATTGGTGGTTGCACAGCTGATTTCTTAAAACTTCTTCCACCTATATTTCAAAACAACACCAAGAGCATTAAATGTACTTTTCACTTAAAGATTAAAGCTCAGGGTTAAATAATGTGCATTCATTTATTTAGCAATTCACTGACAAAACTGCAATGTCAAGCCTTGGTCCTTCTTCTAGGACACACAATCCCTTAGAGAAACCATAACTGTGTTTGTTCTTAAGGAATTTGATAATTCAAGTCTATATCACACAATTCTTTTCTGGTTCTAAATCATTTCTTGGAATTCTTCCTCCTAGGATCATAAAGATCAAAGCCAAGTTTCTGTCTCCCTCCCACTGTCCTAGCCTAACATTGACCTTGATTTAACAAAAACAGCAAAATCTAGGCACTCATTGGAATTTACCTTGTAATGACTTCCTTTTGATAAGGTTTCCTTGCAGGTTGGGTTCATGAGGCTCATAAATATTTATTTGCTTTTTAATTTAACTCTTTCTTCACTTCAATGTCATGTGGATCATGTCCTGGATAACAAACAAAATGAGTTTCTCTCATTGAAATATTTCTAATTAGCACATATCAAATAATTAATTTATCTGTTGTCTTTTTTTTTTTTGAAGTCAGTATATTCTAAGGTGAAATAGACCACCACTTTCTTATTCCTAATGATCTTCTTTTCTTCTTTCTTTCCTTTCCTTCCTATTATCACTCTTTCCCCCTTCTTTTTCTTTCTTTCCCCTCAACATTGACTCTAAAAGATCAGGGCCAGTCATCTTGTAGACATTTTTGATTGGTTGATTGTTTATTCAGAATATTGTTTGAAATGTTCTCTACATCTGTATTGATTGAGCTAACTGAATTCCAGTTAGTTGTTTTGGTAAGAACACTGCAGAGGTGCTATTGTGTACACTGCAGGGCATCTCATCCAGAAGCACAGGATCACTGAAATCTCTCTATGTATAAGTTATTCTAAGTATCATCAGTGAGTTAAGCTGGTGATAGCCACATTTATTTATTTTAAAATTGAATTTCCCCCTTTTGTAACTCTCTGTGGGTTGATGCTTGGATGTGATGGCAATATTCAGTTCCTCTTTAATCCTTCATGAAATGATTGAATGGTTGCTGGTATCCTCTGAATATTTGTACTTGAATCAATTATTTTAAGGATCTGCACTGATTTTGTGCAAGTAATTTCTACTGTTTTGATGTCTAAAGAGATAAACAGTGAATCCTCAAGTAAGAGCAATAAATTCTAGAGAAAGCATAATTCTATGGATATAGCACTTAAATGATGCCATTTTTTCTCTTTTGGTTACTAGTGATTTGGGATGAGTTCATTTAATATTTGGATGAATCTCAAGCATGACTACATTTTCCTTTCAGTTGATTAAGCCACATTAAGCTTAAATTTAAAGGAGCATCTAGTTGACATTTGCCAGACACTAAGTGACTCTAGCAATAACCTGGAATGTAAGTCCATTAATCATAGTCCTGTCAAGTGGAATTCTTTATAGAGCTTGCTTATCAAAGCAGAGTATAAAAGAAAAAAGTAGAAAAGAGTGTGAAAAAATAGTCAGAAGATGGGAAAGGATTATTACTTTTTCTGTAATTCTTTAGGATTAGATTTATAATAGGTTTCTATTGCACTATGGAAAGATGAGAAATGTTTAAAAAGAACTAAAAAATACCTTGTGTAGAATAAATATTCAGTATTGAGTGAGTTCTGAAATGCTGTTTTAAGCAGAAGCAGCATTTTTGACTGGATCTCTTATTTAAACCTTATCTTTATGTTGCAGCTGTACCTGGAAAGAAAGAAGAAAAAACAACCAAGACAGTGGAGCAAGGTAAAAAAAAATGAAGGAGGTTGACATTATCTTCTTTAGAAAGACAACAACATGTGAAGGAGAGCCCTGGATTCAGACAGGCGGAAGACAATACCTTTAAATCTATGCTCCATGTCACTGTCCTTGCATGTTTTTCTGTGCCAGGGAGAATGTGAGGTGGCAAGCTGGGTTTGTCTTTCTTTTGTGAATAAAACTTTGAATATAAATTCAGAACAGGGAAACGCCATAGAGTGCTTAATTTCATCAGCAGAAATGCTCAAGATTGCTGAGGTTAAGGAAATGAACTGGAGCAATTGGTAGAAGTACTTGTTTGATTTTTGGTTACAGTAATACCACATTGCTGATCATAGTTTGAAGAATAAAGATGACATCATCCTGTTTACCAACAAGAAAAAGATTTTACATTGCTTGGAAAATAATATGTAAAAATTAAAAATACAGGAGATAAACAACAGCAAATGAAAGCTATTTAAATATATATGATGACTTCAGCAATTGGTGTTTCCCAGGTCTGAAATTTCAGCTACAAATCAAAAACATCATTAAATAGTTCTCCATATTTTAATGTGGTTGTATTATAACTAGATGTATAGTTCAGGAAAAAAAATCTCTATAGTACACTAGACTTGAGACATTTACACTTTTTCTGCACCTCCTCTTAAAGCTCAAAGTGTGCCAATAATTTTAATTGCTATCCCCTTCTACTTTTTACATATATTATTATATTTATTATTTATTAAACAAAATTTGAGCTGACAATAATTTTTCAAAAGTCAAAATAATTCTTACTTTCATAGTTGAGTTTCTAGTCTCTTGATATCAGAAATTTAGAATTTTTGATTCATATTTATCAAAAAAATCATTTCATTCCTCACATTTCAGATTAGTGAACTGAGATTAAGGATTTGGTTAAGTGAAAAGATTGGTTAAGGATTTATTTCCTTGGGCTTTTCAAAATATAATAACATTAAAATTTTATTGATGAAATTCTTCAATTTATTTGGGCTTCTGAGTACCTCCTGGCATATTAGAATTCCATGGCATATTTCTGTAAACTTCTTTTTAAAACAACATATATACTTTAGTCTCCAAAATGTAAAGTAGAAGCACTAGTCCCAATTTCAGCCTGTTCACTTGTGCAAGTTTCTGATCCTAAATTTCTTCTTTAACAATTGAAGATAATTATACCTGACCTGCATATCTGACAAGGCAGTGTATTGTTCAAACAAGAACACATATGTGTAAAGGATGTGAAAAATTTAAAAACCTAAATGTTAGTATAGTACTTTTTAGGTGTTTTTCTCTTATGAAATCCATTTCAGTACAGGTGAGAGAATTTTCAAGCCACTTTGACCCCACTGAGCTTCTTAGAATTGTTTCCCTCTGCTGTAGTGGTGATTGCTCATGGTGCTCATAGATTGCATTTATATTCACAGCATGTTAAGAGAAAATTGACCAGAATATAAAACACTCTCATGAATAATAATGTACCTAACAGATAACTGATTTGACCACCTGTTGTTTATTTCTTCTCACCTGCCCGTTAGCATCAGTTTCATTGATTCTATAATGTTTTTGCAAGTGGCCAGAAACTGAAATTGACTCTATGACATGAGAACTTTCTCCTTTTTGTATTATTTCATAATTTTGAATTAAAATGTCTTTTGCCTTATGATAACTTAGGCCTTTTATTTGTGTAAAAAAAAATAGAACTTCTTTCACTGGCTTTTTTTATATTGACATAGTGAATCATTTCAGCTTTAAATATTGTATGGCAGTGGCCTCATATATTTCAACTCTAACAGTAACAGGAAATAGTGTATTTTGATATGTTGCCTGTTTTTGTGATTATATATCTATGACTAATAATTATTATGAAAAAAGACATTTCAGAATTTCATAAAGCAGGGAATTTGTGTAAGAATAAATTAGAAATAACTGAATTCTTGAAATTTCACAATAGCGTTCATAAGATAATACATTAAGAATTGATGTACCTTTTTATCTAGTTTTTAGTAATCGTTAGAAATATAAAAATATACAACTAGTTCATAGTGCCTTAAAATACAATTAAGTATTCATTTAAGCTTGAACTTGTGGACTTTATTAGAAACACATTATGATATTTGTACTCATCAAGGTTCTAAAGCACTTTGTGATATAGATTGAACATCTGGATTTAGTTTGCATTACAGTTATACTTTAACATTAAGGCAAACTTTACTTATGGGAAATTCATATTAGAAAAGTTGAAATAGATTTTATGTTAATATGATTATCTGATGGGACCTCATAACATGTAAGAAATAGAAATTCAGTCAAAGTTCTGCAGAACACCAAAAAAAAAAAAAAATCACTGTTTTTTTTTTCTGTAGTCCATGATGAATTATATGATATTCAATTATTTTTCTTATGAAGATATTGAATTGGGACATTGCAGTTTGGAGTAATAAGCAGTACTTTATAGCCAGGCATGGTGGCACATACCTATAATCCCAGCAGCTCAAAAGGCTGAGGTAGGAGGATCATGAGTTCAAAGCCAGCCTCAGCAAAAACAAGGCATTAAGCAACTCAGTGAGACCTTGTCTCTAAACATAATACAAAATAGGGTTGGGGATGTGGCTTAGTGGTTGAGTGCCCCTGAATTCAATCTTTGGTACCAAAAGAAAAAAAAAGAAATATTTTGTAGACTCCTCTACTTTGAAGGTGTGTGCACAAACACACAGCATTAATATTCCTCCTGGTTTATAAATCAATTACCTAGGTAAACCAGAATACTTCTCTACTGTGCTTACACAGTAAAAAGTTCCTATCCTTATAGGGAGAATCAAGGAATGTCAAAAAAAAAATTACTGCCTCTATCTATCTATCTATCTATCTATCTATCTATCTATCTATTTGTCAGAAGAAAATATTTGGCAAGATTTACTTAATGCTAGCTGGGAGGGAGGCAAACAGTCACTCTAAATAAGCATTATGAGGTTTAAAAGGAGACTGTATAAGACAATTACCCTCAAAGGTCTGAATTGGAGTTGTGGAATTCCCATTTTTAACATCCTTCTTGAAAACTGACTTGAGTTAAGCAGTGAAAAGCTGAAAAAAAAAGTTGAGAATTAATTCACTGGCAAATCATTTTTCTTTCTTCTTTCATTCACTCCTGTGTTTGACATTATTCAAGTCTTCCTATAGAATCCATCCAAGAGCCCATACCAGTGGCTGCCTACAGAAGTTCAATCAATGTATGTGATTGTCAAATACAAAATAAAAAAAATATTGAGAAAAAATATTAGATGATTTAGATTTCAACAAACTGTTCCTAAAAGATTGTGTAACAGAATATTTTCAGAAGTTAAGATTAGAATTTCAATAGTAAAGAGGTCCAAATATTTCAGAAATTAGAATGTAAATGATACTCACTTTACTCTATTGTACAGTGGAAAAAGTAGAAGAAAAGTTAATAATTAAGTAATTTCTTTGTTAATTTATTATATTAAACAGCTGATAGTCTTAAAACTTTGTGTCAACAGCATTTGACAAGGACAGAGAAACATTTTAGTAATTGTAACAATTGTGAATTTATTTTTAAAAACTAAAATGGGATAAAAGATTGAACAGGTATCTAATTAGGCCAATATATTTGCCTCAGTTCAGAAAAGTTAGGCTTTATTCTACATTTTTAAAATTTTTATAATTAGGAATCCTAATGAGGCTCTCTCTAATACCTGTTCCAAGTATAAAAACCAAAAATTATTCAAAGAATTTTTAAATAATGTGCTGTGCTTCTTACATCAAAATATAAAGGGTAGTCTTTCTTTTTAGAAAGAGGCTGATTTAAAAGTCATTTATAAGATTCTAAGACTCAAATGCTAAGAAAAATCACATTTGATAAACTTTAAGTCTTATGGATACTTCATTATCTTAAATTAAGTTGAAAAGATTATTACAGAAATATTAAGTATAATTTTCCACCCCCTTAACAATTAAAAATCACTTTAAAACTTAGTTAACTATAAAAACATGACAAAATAGTTTTTAAAAAATTACATATAATTTGATTGCTTATTAACCATCATGAATAAATTTGAACACAATTATTCATCATTTTATTAAAGGTAAAATTGGAAAGTGTGGATCATAAATGTTATCAAAGTTCATTTTCTGTAATAGTGATTCAATTTTGCCTTTAATTAAAAAGTATTTCAAAACTTAGAAACAAGTTAATACATGTCTACCTGAAAGGTTCTCTCTCTGCCTTCTGTAAACAGTGGTACCCTATATAATTGAAATACTATTTTAAATTGTCACAGCAGTAGGCAAAACCAGAACACTTGTTATCATCCTCATCCACCTCATCAGATTCTTCTATTTTTGTGTATGCACTGGTCCTTTCAGAATCTGTGATATGTAATTATTATAGACTTATCCCAGAGTTTCAAATTATTGTTAATGATATCTGAGTTATGTTTTCCCTGAGAGATGCTTATTTATTTGAATAATGATGTCTACATTTCTCATGTCTCAATTATAAAAAAATAATTTTATATTTAAAATTACTGGAGTAAAATTGAAGGCTAAGTTAATGATAATTGTATTTAATTATTTGCTTAATATGTGATTATAAAGTAACTTATCTGCACGTGTTGATTAAGTCATGCTGTTGACCCTCAATAAATGTTAAATGATAACAATATTAACGATTTCTGTGATTTCAAACTTTCTGAAACTTTTTTGTACTTGGATTGTTTAATATTTATTGAGCGCCCACAACAGGCTAGGCGCTGGGGAAGGGGTGCAATGGGCAGGGAGTGGGCATCAGAGACAAGAGGGTCTACATTCAACTCAAGAAAATGAGCACACCATGTTTGTGCATTTTACATATCTCCAAGAGAACCTTTAGCAATTCATGATCTCATTTTTTCACATAACACATTTCACTTCTTACTCTTACTTAATAATTTTAATTTATTCTCACAATTATTGTATCTCATTATGAGAAATCC